TGTTCATTTTCCATGATGTTATGTCTCTGCAGTACTGGTACCATTGCACTGCAGACACTTCCGAATTTTCTGATTCATACGTTGCTGTTGTTGCTGGTCTTTTAAGCACCCAGATATGACACTTCATTAAAATTCTCGTCAGAGCGAATTCAGACTTGGCGAGAAAAATTACCTACGGAATCTGTAAACTAAAAAAGAACGGCATACCTTCTCGAACTGACTTTCTGGTTCGGCACTCATCGCACCTGTAAACAAATCCATCAATGCACCTAGTATATCTTAGTATATACACGACACCTCCACATTCACAATTTTTCGACCTTCCTATCAGTCTGTTCTGCAAACAGTAATCAAAAACAAGGTATGGGGCGAATTAGCAACGCAAAAGGTGTACAGCATCCATAAGCACGTCTGGATAATGCGGAGTTACTTGACTGGTTGCTCAAGGTCATTTATCCGTTCGCTAGGTAGTTTCGGTTTGGGCTGCTATAGTTTACAGTCACCCCCTGGCCCTGTCTGAAGCTTGGTGTTCATGGAGAGTCCTGTGTCTGCTGGTAGTGTTTTGGGGTGAGTTGTATTCGGAGGTCAATTCGAGATTCATTTAGATTGATCAGACTGGCGTTTCTTCAATTTCACTTCTGTGGTAATCGAGTTTACTTCACCATTTTTCACTGGTTTCTTCTGCATTGATTCCTTTCTGGTTAGCGGCGTGAATTTTTGATAAAGGGTCAAGCTTACCTTGAGATTATTCCGCTCAAATTGCCGGTATGTCACGACGGTATCCTTTGTATTTTTACGTACTCTCATTTTCTGCAGATTGTGCCTGTCTGCTTTGCTGTTCATCTCCACGTCGATTTAACTCATCCATCCTCTTTGTCACCTCTATTGGCTCCCTCGTATCCATAGTAGGTCTTTCTGTCACGCCTAATATTGCACCTTGAAACAACAAAGTTCCACTGTGTTTACCATTTTGTATTTTATGTTAATTAGATCATCTGTGATTCGGTAAACTGTTGTGTTTTGTTTTTTTGAATGCACATTTTAGTTAGCTGCAAGTCATATGTTCAGCCATTGTGCTTTGGGTATTTGGATGCTGGATTACCGAACTGACTATGTGATTAATTTTGTTCAACACAGTAATGAGTCTTGCAGTTCTTCGAGAGCTTCTTGCCAATATAATTCTATTTAGAACAACTTAGCCTTGTTTTCGACTTAGTCAGAAACTGTGAGTACGTGTGTTCGGGGTATTATTAACTCAGTGGCTGTAGCTCTTTTTTGTTTCTAACTCCTTCCTTCTTTTCAAGGTGCCTTCGCAAACTCCCAGCTTTCCGTTGCTCAAGTTTCTTCAGGGGTGTTCCTTAATGTTACCGACTTTCCTCTGATGACCACCCTGCTGTTATTTATAGCTCCTTCTTTTAGTTCTTCATTGATGATTTTGAACTGTAGCCTTCTTGAACCTCTTTGATGGACTACATTTGTTCAGTAAAGCATACAGTGATACGGCATTATTTACTGATGATGTTCAGAGTAAAATTTATGGCCCATAATTATACCAGTACATTTACACAACTCTCAGACCTCCTTTATATAACTCCATTGTTTTTTATCTTTTGACTTTGTCAGTCAGCAAGATAGAATTCTAGTGGCGAAACAGCCAGGAATCTACTGCTCAGCGTGTACGCAGAAACAAATGGAGATAGATTGAGAAGCCACTGAAGTTGCTTTCAAGTGAGACTGTACATCAGGACTTCACGTACAGCCGGAATGAGAAGCGAAGATGTTGACGTTCAAGTATAGCACTAAGAACGTTTTGAGAAGAGGCACTAGAAGCTTGCTGATAGGCCGTGAAACTAGCCGAAAGCAGTAAATGGTGAAGCCATATCCCAGTCAGAATGCCAGGAATGAACGTTATCAATAATACAGATCAAGTTAAGTCAGTTTTAAGTAGCCAAAAAACCAGCGAATGCGAAATATCAAATATTGCACTCGGCCTTGTATCTTCGATGGCAGGTAGTCAGGAAACGCAGAATTTGACAAATAACGGCAGCTAATATCGTTATCCAACAACTTTTCCGCTGCCTCTTCCATGTCGTAGACTGTCAGTCTGAGATACGCTTTTTGCTGATACCGTTGTGGAAGCTGATTTCACCCCACCTAAGGATGAACGCATTCCGTGCCCACTGGACCCATAACTGTGTTCCATTAGTTTTTCGCAGGCATGATGGTCCCAATAGCACTCATATCTCCTCGAGTATCTCTTGTGATAGTAAGTTTTTATTGTCATTTTTGATGTCATTGTGTTCACTTTTTAAATGTACCGATCATCTCCCTAAAATAAATACGATACCTGTAAACATGACTCCAAAGCATCGCAAAATATAACGGTAGTCATAGCATATAATACCTTGCGACTACATCAAAACTATAAACTCCTTCTCAGTATATCTGCCAATTCATCTCACACTGCTACAGGGGCTTAACTGTAGCAAGTATTCAATCATACTTTGGCATCCCTCGCCTTGTTTTTGAGGAAGGTATTTGCAGCGAGGTAACTTTGGCCTCAGAATGATGCTCACTCAAGCTTCCATGAAACTCTTTTGACATTTTGCTAAAAGATGGGATGCCATCAAACTCCCGGATCACGAATCCCCTATCGTATGCCCAACACAATTGTGCAAACGGCTACTCATTTGGGTGGGTTATGGCATTCAGATAATCCGTGATGGATATGTCATATCTAAGGAGGGCGCGCTTGAACTTCTACTTCAGGAAGTCAATTTTTTACGCTACTTGAATGACCCCGAGCTATCATCCACTTGGCTTCAACCAAAAATAACAGGCACAAGTGATATGTGGTCATCTATGCTGCTGCATCTGTGCTTTTGCGACTCTACCTGCTGACTCTATAGCTTGGCCCACAACAATCTGCCAGCCAGGCTCCTCTTAACACCTCCACAACTAGTGAAGAGAAAATATAATACTTAAGACTGTTCAAAGATATATTTATTAACAATAGTAAGAAAAGATCATGGAATTATATGATAGCATCAAACCGTCGAGATGGCATTCTCGTCCCTTAAATATCTAACGTCTACACCGTGATTCAGCCAGAGAAGTTAAACAGTTGGATTGCTGGAGGTGAAATGGCTGATATCCAGTTGACTTAACGCACTTCCTTGACCCCTATAATACGTTGCCTCACCAAGAGAGATGAATTATAAACTTGTGGAGAAGTCTAAAATCTTGCTTTAAATTGAAGTATGCTGAAGATGTTGCCTATTAGGTCAATATAAGTTCCACAAATAAACCATCCAGCTCACAGAACACAACCACATCGCATTTTCTGGTATCTGGAGAGTAATGCGATTTGTGCATTCCTGAGTAGTGGCATTACTGAGGGCGTTCCGTCAATGAAGTGTTCTCTCCGGCCATCAGGTACTGGTGGTACAGGTTATCAGCATGTACTCCAATATCTAGGTTTGGTGCTTTTTCTCACTCGTCACTAGAAATCACCTGCAACCTCAATGATCCACATGAAAGTCATCCATTTCTGCGGTCAGAGACTCTACCAGTTGGATGTGAACTCCTCAGTGGGACCAGAACTAAGCCAGTGTTTCACAGATGTGGCGCGGAAGTGTATTACAACCTTAGTTCACCCAGGTAGGAATTGAACGTGATGTTAGATACGGGTTGCATGCTTGCAACGAATGCCGGCCTTCCTAAGTGAACAGACAAATTTACACCACTGCAGTCTCTCGCAAGACCTGACGCACAAAACAAGTAGAATACGAATGATGTGGGTTTTCTCCAGCTTCTCAAATTTGCAAACAAGTTTGAAAATAAATTCATTCAGCTACGAAATACCCGTGTTCTGTCATTGTTGGTTGCTGTCTATCTACTAATGGTTCCATAATACATTTCCATTGCGGACTTAAGGTTTCGTCAGCGGCAACAGGCAAGGAGAACCGGCAGAATTTTCGACTTCCACTTCACCGTCAACGAGGGTTACAGTGAAATTTAGCAGAACTAGTTTGTGGAAACATTACATTTAGTGGACGGACTAGTTGCTCCAGCATGTATCACGCCAAATGCTAATGAGTAACACATCTGTAAGCGGTAACCTTCAATCGTTTTGTGTCAGTTTTATTCAACATATACCTGTGCATAGTGAATAAGAATACAGTTGAGTACGTTTTCGTGACGCCATTAGGATACATTTATTTAATTTCTCAGATGTATCCTATTTGGTTTTCAAGTGGAAGGAAAAGATTTTCGTAAAAAACAGTCAAGCAAAACAGAATACCGTCAGCTTTGGCAGTTTTAGCAGCCTTTATCGATGAAGAACTTTTTTCTTCTTATTGATATGATCAGCAGAGTCCTTATCACTGGACTAAAAATACTTTGTTATTTGCAGAGATCCTAAATCAGCACTCCAAGTATAGAATTCCCTCGTAACAAACTAGTGATTAAAAAGACTCGGTAGGTAATACTGTATTCCAAATGAGCACATCTTTCTCCAAATACAGATTACGTTAAACTGCCATCATAGTGCAATAAGGTAATGGCTGGAACAATGGTGGCAATGACCACTCCGGACTCTAGTTGAGATAAGTAACTGTTTCTGACCGTTAGTCAGAGAGGTTCATAAAATCAATTCACTAAACAATAATTCGTGTATAGAACGTTAAACTTATTCATTCTGGCTAAGCTATCAGAAGTTGCCATGTCTATTGCTTTTAATTAGCAATGTCATTAGCGGCGTCTTCAAACTCTGTCTGAGGAGTTTGTTATTTGTCCGCGTAATTTTTTATTTGTAAGTACTTCTCGTCACATTAAAAATATCTGCATCAAATCTAAATTTCTCGCGCACAACAGTTTATATAATATTTACGATGTTTCTGGGTCGCAGAGCTGATATTTCAACTTGTAAAGGGCAGAAAAATTAGGTTACTACGGTGGTCTCCTAGATTCCGTTACCATTAGGATTAAAATTTCATTGAGTTTGCGCCGTTTATCAAGGTTACTGCCCCGATGTTATTAAGTTATGTGACTAGTGTTCATTAGAGTCATTTAGATGGAAACTAGAAACATATGTTTCTAGTCTTCATATGAAGACTATCAACTGGTAATTTCATATGCTGCGCATTTTGTGAAGAGTTCTTTTTCAGTTAAAGGGAAGAGATAGTGTTCCGAATAGTGAACAGATATGACGAATCTAAATTAGTCAATCAGAGTTGACCAGACTAAAAAAGATGAAATAGTTATTATATTCTTGAAAAAAGTGTTAGCAGGTCCGCCACTTAAAAATCTTGTATAGCTTTTGTTATTATTAGTAGACCCTATTCATCGATCATAAGTTCATCACTGCCTACACAACCTACCACTCATTGAAACTCGTCCGCCTTCAAGGGCCCCAAGACTGAAACTGTATCATTTTGTAACTTCCAGTTTTCTCTAGCCCCCATAGCTTATGGTGAATCTTATTTCTAAAAGTCAAAAATGAGGGTATTTTGATTCCTGCAAAGGTCCGTTATAATTTTATAAGCTTTGATATTATTTTATTTAGCTTGTTCTAAAATGTTTATTTATAAGAAAAAAAAGTAAATTAACTAGGTTACTTGATTCGTTTAGTGCATCACGAACCGGCTACTTCTCTAAAAATCAGATGGTAATAGTGTTCTTACAATAGAAACTCTGGGCGATCAGATGAGTATACAACATACCCTGTAGCTTTTCAGTTCGCGTCATCTACCTGAGGTTTTTCGACTTGCCTTTGTTTTTAGTTGTTACTCGCTAGGTTACTAAACATAACCTTAGGAAATAATGTGGATAATTTTTCATTTGGCGGAAATCTGTGGTATTTGTTTGTAGTTGTGATCCCTAAAGGCCGAATACCAGTAAATCATATAACAACACGGGTAAGATTGAAGTCAGAAATTTGTGATAGACAGCATGTTTTGTATTTAGTATTTACAATAAACGGACACAAACAAAAACGAACATTTAAACTGTAGAGCAATAGAAATTGTCGTTCACAAAGTCATAATTTATCGGTTGTTAGTAGCGCTCTGGTGCCCAAACTGAGGTAAGCGGGATGGGATTTAGATTTTGAATGCATTGGTAGCAGTGGTGTACTGCTTGGCAGACCGAGTGAAACGCTCCTTTGTGTACAGTTAGAATAAAGATGTTAAAGAAATGGCCACGTCTCTGCCTGCTCTGTAAGCGCGGTTCGTTACCTCTGGTTTGCTGTTCAAAACCTTCGGTCAGGTGTTGGAGAGTTGGAACATTGTGTATATTTGTTAACCCTATGAATAGAGTTGTCAGTTTGAAAGACAACAACTGATAGTATGTGGTAAAGTTACCCGATATTACTACTCTATCATTCGCGTGCAGTTATTAGTGTCTCTGCATCTACCTCCTTTTCTCACTGTCTAGTTCACACAGTATGATACTAGATCTGTGAGGTAGCGGTCATTGTATTGTATTGAGCCGTGCAAACGATGGTCTAGCACTGTTTATTCTATCTTATGTCATTCTTTGTTTTATATTTTTCCTCTAAGTTTCGCTCTATGTCGCAAAATTTGACGGCCCTATATTCATGAGATGGTTTCATCCATATGGTCTAAGTTGAGTGCACTGTTGGTGTGTAGCGCTTTCACCATAGTATGCTAATAAGGTTACAAGAATGGTGAAATGATTCTTTCATAGTGAAGTGGTTGCAAGATTAGATATTTAATGTCTTACACGCCTCATTGTATTGAAACGCACGCTTAATTCATTACTGATTCAACTCATTGCTAATTAAAGCTCTTGCGCTGACTGACATTGAAATGGTCCCAACGTAAGTAGCATAAAAGAAGTAACACACCGTATCTCTCTTTAGTAATCCATCGAATTCAAGCATAACATGGGGTTAGGGTTGCTTTCACTTCTTATTTATATACATTTCATATACTAGGTTTTCACTTGCTTATATGAACACAGTAATTGGTTGAGTAGAATAATATTTTGTTGAAGTATGTGATTTTATCTTTTATTTCCCGATAGCTATTGCTAATGGTTAAAACTCGTTCACTTGGAGTAATAATTGGTAGTGATATCATCTATTAGAGTAATTACTCGACTTCCACATGGTAAGTGACAACTTTGGGTTTCGTTGAACTCACTCGGTCGCAACAACCAAATGGCTCTCGTTTACTAAGTATGATTTATTGCCTGGAACGTTAACAATTACCGACTTATTGAGTTAAATTCTCCAGAATAAATTGGATTTTATATGCGAACTGAACTCATTGTATGATGAAAAAAGTCCACAAATATCATATTGCTTTATTTGTTTCTTCTTTAGGTTGACAGTTACCCCTGTTTCAAAATTCTCAATCAGCGCAACTTAGGAATATTGGCATGAAAGAACTTATGCTTTACATCATTTGATGGAGAGTGAATTTGGTATTTTGTCTTCAGGTTATGCCCCTATGTGATGAATGGCGTCTGTTGGCGATACACAGATGCGGAAGCAACTTCGTGTTTGCAGGCGCCGTCAGAAACGCCATTTAAAGTTGAAAAGAGGTGCCCGACTTTCTTCTAACAGAAACAATTCATTCAACAGCGTAGTTGATTCGGAGGAAGTGTACGTTGTTGAAAGTATCCGTGATGAGAGGATTATTAAGGGACAAAAATACTACAAGGTACGTTGGCATGGTTTTCCTCCAGAGGCGGACAGTTGGGAACCGGAACAAAATCTTACTAACCTTTTGGATATAATTGCCAATTTTCATCGATCAAAGGCGAAGACTCCCAAAAATTTAGATGTGCAAAAAGAGTATCAAACTGGTTATGAGAACTCCCCAGCTTCACTCCCAACTCCTCCCGCAACACCAAGCACGGCAGTCCACCATTTACATAGTCGATTGAGAGGTGCTAGTGAAGAACGACAAGTAAATAACTCCATAAAACGCAAACACTGCACGAAATCTCGAACTAGTGGGAGATATGAATATGTGCCAAAACACCAGTTGGTTGCCTTGAAGACAAAATACTTTGATGACATTAGAGATGGAAAAATTGACTTGTGCTCAAATGATCTTTATTCTCGCGTTAAAACTCGAAAGCGGTGTGCCGCTGAATCTACCAGCAATTCTGTCAGCAATGAATCTGCTCAGAGTCGAGGTGGTAGTCTTCATGGGGAAAATGAATCGGAATGCGATGCTTCTATGGAAACTTTTGCATCATGCTTTCCAAAACGCGAACCGGTGTCACCGTCATTTTCGTGTTTTAATAATAGTGAATGCTTCCCAGACTCTAATTGCACACTTGAAACTAATGAACAAGAACACACAAGTGTCTATGCTGCAGATAGTTCTGATCATCATCATCTTTCTGACATTAATAACAATATGGTTGGTTCAACCGATGACAGATTGCATGATACAGACAGAACTTCCAACACAGACAATAAAGCCGTTCAGTCGGACATTTTGAATTCAGAATCAAAAAGTATATCATGTGATCTCGGCTTTTACAATTCTTTGAATAAAATAGATGTGGGATTATCTCCAATATCTTTAAGTGTGAGTTCTATGTTTGATTTCTCAAGTATTTTCTTTATTGAAGGAGAGTAAGGCCATTCGAAGCAAAATATTAGAACAGTAAATTTGCATGAAAAATAGCCTGTTTGATACCTAGAGTGCTGTGCAGTGTGTACATTGCAGAAAAGCTGTTGGGCTAATAAACTGTACCAGTGATTGTCATTACTTCATCTGAGCTCCAGTAAGGAAATTGGTTGCTAACGATTATGTTTAGCGAATGCTAGTGTCTTTTGTTGGTGCATACTCGAATTCACCATAGATATTTATTATGTTAAGTGTTGTTGTATTCTCTGAGGTAGGCGGCTAAGTTGTAGATTTCATTTATATATATATATATATATATTCATTCCGGGATCTAAATTTTTAGAGATTCACTGAAGTCATTTTGCTCAAGTTTTAAATTCACGAAGGTTGTAATAGAAATTAGAAACCTAGTAACATTCAATTCTACACGATGGTAAAAGTTGTTAGGAAGAGCTGGATTATTAAACATTTACTTCATTTGTTTAGATGCCTAGAAAACCAGATTAGCTTATGTAGATGGTAGGGTATATTAAATAATGCACAGAGTTGCCTTCTTCATGTACGTAAAGTAGTAAATAGATTTCTCTGGCTTCATAAACGTTTGTTCTAATCGAAAACGTTGAAGTTTGAGAATGTTATGTTTATTGAGAGTCAATTGATGGTAGTGGCACCACATGGCAAATTGGTAGAGGTTAAACTTAGTGGATCTATGGATTTCTACTCGTTATCTGAATGGTGACGTACTTACCTCTTAACGCCAGGGCTGTGGTTGAACAGTGCTAAGGAGTCCCGAACTAGGATGAAATGGCTGTCCAATGCCTCCCGACCTTAAATATTTCTCTAACTGGTATCCATTCTTAAGAATTTAAGTTTGGTTGTTTAAAGTGTAGTTGGTGAGCGTTTTTTTTATCCATACAGTGTTTTTTGTGTATAATTCTGTGTCGTTTAATTTATTTTCTTTAACGAGATTAATTAAATGTAGTAATCCTTCTTTAAAAATTATTTTATTTTCTGCACTTACTAGCCTGTGGATGAAGAAGCTTTTCAGAAGTCGGAGCAAGAAGTGACTCCTACATCTGCTATCAAGGAACAAATAGAGCAGCTCCATAACACTAATAATCACTCTCAAGGACGAAGCGTCTCCTCATTGCGCACACTTGTAAATATTTATTTTAACTTAATCCTATCACATATTTCAAATCAAGATCAAATGGTTCAAGGAGAACAATTGAATGACTTCCAAAATGAGCTCCAGTCTTTGCCATATATCTGTGTTTATAACCCACAGACTAGTATCAACTCATCGGAAGAACTTCTCGAGGCCATCAATAATCAGAGATGGAGTCTTATTGCTACTACACCCTCCGAAAAGTTGTTTTCAGTTCCCGATCAAAAACAGAACAATGTTTTGTCACCAGAAAGTTCACTTGGAACCCATAAAGATGATAGATCTGATTTTAAAGATAATCTCTGTTTCAACGAAGACATTTTATTGGCTTGCATTACCGGTGGCGCAGGTAGACCATTAGTTCTAGACAGACTGCTTACTTCTGGATTGGATCCAAATAAAGTAACTGAACCCAATTCAAAGTGGCCGTTGCTAGCTCTAGCAGTTTCTTTGGGTCGCTTACACGCTGCTCAAGCTCTTCTTGATGCAGGTGCTAAGCCTAATTGCGTTGAACCGAATTGTCGGCAACGTTCAGCTCTTGGTTTGGCAATAGCAGCAGGAGATGTCGATATGGCTAACATGCTTATATTGTCTGGTGCAAATTTCTACGAGGTGCGTTTTTATACACGAGTTAAAAGGTTTTATAACCGATTTATCTAACATTCACCGCATTTATTTCCAAAATTCAGTGTTAACTGACAAAAACATCAACCCATGGTTTAATGCATTTCTTAAAAATAGTACAGAAGATAATCATAAGTGGTTGTAGTAAACAAGTTGGGAACAAGTAACACTAAAACAAAGGACTACCTAACATTTTGTAGCATTTCTTTATAAGGATAGATTTTCAGTGATACCAATTAAGGCATCTGGATCGGACATATACTGAGACCGTCGAATGATATCGTGCTCTAGGCCCTCAATTGGAATCCAAATGGGAAACGATAAGTGGGGCGTCCGAGGGTGACATAACAGAGATCGTGTGAGGAGGAAATGAGGATCTGTGGTCAATCGTGGAGCCAGATAAAGAGAATTGTGGAGGACAGGACAAAGTGGAGATGTATTCCTAAGACCCTGTGTTCCACTCGGAACCTAAGGGAATAATAATAATCTATAATAATAATAATAATCAAGACATCTGATTAACCAGTATGTTGTGTTGGACATCGCCGAATAAACATGCATTTTTCGTTAGTTTTACTAGTACCACAACTCCTAACCTCAGTCCAGGTGTCATTTTCTGTTTTTATATAGGAATATTACCAAAACAAAAAACGTATCATTGTGTATAAACTATTGAAATATAACTGCAATTTATTTGATCTATTCCACAGTACCAAAACAATTTACTAACACAAATTTATATAGGAAATTCTGCTGAAAAAATCGAAGTGAAACAAAAATCATTTACTACTTTATCTACAGATATTCACCATTATTTCAAACCTACATCTCCACTCAGTCACGTTAGTTGACAGTCAAGAATTTCATCAGGTGGAATCATGTCTTGTTTTAATTACTCCTGAATGTCCTTTAACCTACTTATAATACGTGGAATGTCTCATATGTAAGGCGTTTTAGGATCAAAAAAGTTTTTACTAAAAGTTGAAAATACTTTAGACAAAAATATTTTATTTCCACGTGACACACCAGTTTTTCCAACGTCACCGTTGCAAACACATACCAGTTTATTTTTAAATAATAAACTGACTTCTACACGTGAGTAAAACTGTCTTGAAGAATGGAAGAAATACTGAATGTAAGTGTGAAAAAGAGGTGTGTAATAATCTCTAGCGTTACGAAAACTCTAAGGGAAAGAAAGACTGAACTGGATGTAAATTTTTAGCATAACATTTGTTGTTAATTGATGCACTGTCTGCTTTATCACCCTCAAATAGTATGTCGGTGATTGAATTCAAAAGATTACGTAACTGCCAGTCAGCTTTTGAGTAAGACTTGATCATCAAATAGAGTACGATTCCATTTTAGTTGCATATCGTTTTCATATCATTGAATAGCATACAGGTGATACTTAGATTTAATCACATTGAATAGTTGGGCTTTCTAGCCTTAGTCAGTACAATTTTCTTTTTGAAATATGCCGGTGCATATCACTTTACAAATGATGGTGTAGTGTGTATGTTGAGTAAGAGAAATGAAAAATCCGAATTGCAGTATAGTAAGTTTCTGACTTTATCTTTTTAGAACGGAACAGTTTTCCTCTTTCGCAGTATAATTCATCTATTGTTATTTTATTTGAAACCTGTCATATGTATTATATTACCATAATTAACGCATTGTTGGTTGGTATTTTACAGGTGGAACCAGGGACAACTGCTCTCGCTCTTATCATGCGGTTGTTAAATGCTCACGTGTCTGCACAACCAAATACCAAAACAAACTATGGACAACTAAATAAATCTTATCTTGCTCTGACAGAACTTCAAGATAAACTACAAAGTCCAGATAATCACTATCCTCCTGTTCCTCCGCCTTGTCCTCCTAACGGACTTGACGTTTACAGTTTACCTAAACCGTACATTTTCAATGCTCTCATAAACTCGAGTTTTGGAAATCATTATAGTTCTGATCAGTCAAGCAATACAGATTTCAATAATTCTAAATCAGGGAATATTTTACCCTCCGTAGATAGTTTATGCAGACTTCACGAACTTGTTGTCGCTCATCATGCTCGTCTGTCGTTAGGTGTCACTAATTTAGTTCGAAATTGGCTTACTCGAGCTGATCTTGTTCAAGTTGGATTAGTTTCACCATGTCAGTGGATAAATATACGTGAGTGTTCTGCTACAATAAAATTTTCATGGCCAAACAAATTTACTAAACCGAAGTCAGAATCATCTCGTGTAGTGGCACCGATTTTGTTTTTAGTTCATGGTCGGATAACACCTCCTGCTTGTTATGATGTTTGGATGGATGATGATGGTCCTTGTGTTATAGAACGTGTTTGTCTCGATCAAATGTACACACAGAGACCATTAAATCGTATGCTTTTTGTAACTACATTATATCCACTTGACTGGAAATCATCGAAACCTCGAGAGCATGAAGTTTTAATCGAATTTAAACAGGATCATATTTTATGCGGGTATTCTACACGTCCAACATGCATAGCAATTATGATTGTTGCTGTTGCTCTATCCCATAATAATATTAAGGAAGGAGTATCACAACGGAATGGGAATTCAAACACAGTTCAATCTTCACGTTCAGTTTCGAGTAATAATAATAATAATAATAGTAATAAGACAACTTAAAAGCAATCAAAATTCATTTGTATATGCACCATCTTTAGTCGATTAATTAATCAGCATAGGATGTTCTATTTCTTTTCCTTCTGGGGAAATTATTTCAGCCAACTAGTCAGGTAGTAGAATACATAGTACATATTATCTTTGAGCAACCATATGTAGTATTAAAAATAATTTTTACTGTGATCGTGTAACAGTTTCAACTGAAACTAATTTTTATCAATTGGGTCATATTACCAATGAGCTTTCAGATAATATACACGTTATTCCTAGGCATCATTTATCATATTCTTGTATTTTATCATATTAGGGATTTATCAAGAATTAATTTCTAATACTGCTTGTTGTATTTATCACTGCTGTTATACTACCTAAAAATACGATTATCAGATACCAAGTATTATAGTCCTGCGTATGTAAATGAGCGCTTATCTACCGTTGTTGTATGACTATTCGTATCTTCGTATGAATTGACTCTAAATTTCTCTCACTGAATAATTGTTTCTATTATTATTATTATTATTATTATTATTATTCATCCTTTAATTCATCATACTCAGAAGAAAAGATAAGACAAATACTTAGTTCTAAGTGGATTTCATTCATCTGAAGAGAAGAAATATTCCTTGCTATTAGTCTTGTTATTATTGTAATGAAATAGTTTATTTAATATTTATTTATTTACTTATTTGCATGCGAAACCCTAGCTAACTCACCTTTTACCTTTATTCTCTGTTACTTACAGGAATGATTGTTGTTTGTTAATATTATTATTATTATTTTTGATAAACTGTCCTTCATTTCTATCCTGTAATTGATTCTATAATATATACAAAAATCTTACACAATTTAAAATGATGAATGTGTCTTCAGTTTTTTGTTGTTGTGTCAATGATTAGATTGAATCAAAAAGCGATTTGTATGCGATTTAAGGGTGTGAAAATTACCTCAAGAATAATTTCAAGGGTAATGGTAGAAGACGAGAAACTTGGTAAAGGAATGTTTATTTGGAATTTGGATTCTCTATCTATATATAGCGAAATTATATACGCCTTATCTTCAAATCACCATTTGCACAGATTTTCGGTGTTGTACTACTTCTGGCCTTCATATTGTGTTTCTTTGTGTTCCTTTCACGTTTCCCATGCATCTCCGCAACGCTGTATCATTTGCTTTCTCTGACATCAAATCTATCTCCCTGCTATTAGGTGTTTTTTATGCTGATGAATGTCTCTTTATATACTACTTATAAATCTTATCAGTAGTACATGCCACAGTACTACTCAACACAGAATTTTGCTCAGTTTATACACAAAAATTGAATTAAACGTAAACAGTGGGATATATAGAAAATAAAAATTGGGAAGATTTGTGAATAAAATCCGTAATTAAATGTAGTTTAATAAATTGTTAGCAATGCATGAGAAGACAGATGGAAATACATCTGTCACAGTGTTGTACTGTTTCAACCATTTGACAACGGATCTCAAATCACTAATAAGTGTATGTCTTTCTAACATGTAATCTACTCCCTTTTTGACATAGTGATCACTTACTTATAACTCCTGAAATAAGTGAGATGCTTGTCCACTAAAGATGCTGATTCTTTAAGAACTAAGTGTTGTTCCTCAGATTCACAGATTTAATTATTTTAAGGAGTATTATTACTCAAATATGTGCCCTACACCAATATTTTTGCGTTGAGCACTTGACGTTTTTACTGACATGAATTTGTGACTGTTAATGACAAATTGATAGTGTTTAGTTAAATACTGTGTGTGAACATAGTTCAATATTCAGCATTCATACTGATTATTTCGCGGGTGTTCTTGCCACTAAATGGATACTGTGGCAGGTGTGTTTTCTACAGGAGAGCATATTTTATGCGCTTCCAGAGACTATGAAAAATAAATGATGAAGTAAACGATAGAGGTGGACAATTTTTATTATTTGTCCCTTGGGTTTCAAGGGGGGACATAGGGCCACAGCAGTACATCTCCGTTGCACTCGGATCCCTGCGGTCTTTTTTAGCTGACTCGACGATTGCCCGCAAAGCTTATTTCCTCCTCTCATGATCTAAATTCTATCCTCTGGCGCTCAACTGGTCGTTGTTCATTCAGCTTCCACTCGAGGGTCTGGCTTGTGACGTCACCCACTTATCCCCTGAGTATATGTCTAATACATCTCAATTTTCTCCTACATATTTGTTGAGCTTATCCTTTTTGACCAGACATTCGATCTTGAGTATCGAACAAAGCCAGTCTGCAGTAGCCTACTGGAAATGCTGTAGGTGACGCATGCAATAAGTCTATGAATTATATAGAAGCACTAACTTATTTGATATTAGTTGTCGCAAATAAGGATATTTGTCTTTGTGCCAAGTGCAGTAGTTCCTCACACCTATTTCAAATTAGTGAACTACTGTTTCGCTTTCTGTATCCTATCTAGTCTGGCCTTGACAAACCCATCTGCGGTGCCTGTAGTTAGAATGGTGCTACTCGTGTAAGTGAAAGAGACGACTTCCTTTAGATTATTTCCGTGGATGGTAATTGGTGCTTGTTGTTGTTAATTAGGTACATGCATCACTTCTGTCTGCTCTATATTCACCTGAAGTTCAGTCCTCGCTTCCTTTTCTGCCAACTTCTTGGTTCTCGCTTGCATAACTTCGAGTTTGCGCGATTATTATTATCATTATTAAAACATACTTGGTATATTATAGGCAACAAGAAATGCACTACACAAAAATAGTAAAACAATATACAAATAAAATAGGGATAGAATATAAGAGAGACATCTACAAATCAGGTACGCATACTTGTAAATATCACTCAAGGATGATTCATTACTTCATGTTACTTTCAGAAAATGCAGAAAGAGAGTAATTAAAGCATGTTCACTGCTGATTACGATTCTTGGCCATATATAATGACGTCTCGAAGCACCGATTTACACTATATTTAGGACGCCACCTAGGCAGTCGTGATGCATCAACGAATGCTAACCTAACATAAATGTTAATATGTGTGTAAAACTTGGGCACTGTGGTAGTATGTAACTCCATATTAATTTGTTTATTAGATATATCACACATTGAAACAGTAAATAATACTGTTCCATGATGATAACACTCAATGAAAGTCGGCATTAATTGTGTCCAAACACACCCTGCTGGACTTCAGAATTACTTACGTGATGATGCCATTGGATGCAAGCAGTTTTACGAAGACAGCGATGATCGAATACGCAGAGTCACCACACATTCTCACCTCGGAGAGGTTAAGTTTCCCTGACGTAGAGCAAAACTACGCATTGTTAACCCAACCTTTACAGCCAAGCTGGCACCCTGATGGTGCTAGAGGTGACCCAGACTGGCATGCACCACCGAGATTTCACTATACAGTTAGAAATCCTGTCCGTCACACCGCCAGTACTCACGCAGGTATCCAAATATACGAGCTTGTGAACAAATTCAAGCGGTTCACCTGCGAAGTTGAATACAGGTGCAGGCTCCTACCATATTTGCAGACACTGATCAAGTGCGGTTGGGGCAGTCTGCATGCTATTGCACAGTAAGACAATATCATCTGCATACTCGAGGTTGAAAAGTTTCTCTCCAGGAATCGGACCTACACCGCCACTACCACGCACATCCTTCACAGCTGACTCCAAAATATCACTGATGACAAAGTTAAAGAGAAATGGTGATGGCTATATTATCTCGTACTACCTGTGGTGGGCTTTCAGGATATGAACAAACTTCTTACGAACACCTCTGCCTAATAGACAGTTCCGGACATAAGTTCTATTCAACGAATCGAGGAAACCCTAAGATCAAAAAACATAATGATTGTTGGCCTGCAATATCAGTGACGATGTTCCAGCAACTAACGAAGGGTGAACACGTGATCATTGAATCCACGGACTGAAGGAAATACAACCTGCTCTTCGCGAATTTAATTCTCACATTTTTCACACAGCCTGCGAAGTAAGCAGCCGGTGTTTTAGGGGCGACTGGTAACAAACTAATATGCCTGTGATTGTCACATGTATTAAGTATGACCTGTTTAAAGACTGGGATGATAATGGCTTCATTCCATACTGATGGGACATTCTCACTTCCCTATACTATCCTAAGTAATGTAGTCAGTACCCTGATGATATTCTTGCTGCCATCTCTTAAAAGAGGCAGGGACAGATTATTTAGGCTGAGTGCCTTGTAGCTTTTCAGTACTTGGGTTTCCATTTAGTCTAGTTGGTCACTATTAACCAAAAGTGGAGCACTGTAGTTGATGGTGTTGTATGCTGTCTGTGTTGGCTAGCCAAACTACTCCTCGAAGTATTCTGTTCAGTGATCCATATGACTTTTCAGGTTGTTAATCAGCATACCATCTGGCTTACAGATTGAGGTCTTTGCTAATGATGACTTGGATGACCGTGAAGAGCTTCAGACTAGTGTCAGATGAAGCTTTATGGGCCTTACGTGAATACTATTTGATCTTACGCTGAGAGCTTTGCGCATGTCGTCAAACCTTCTATCCGTCAGAGTGAACTGACAGGAGTCCAAGAGTTGTAAATAACTCTCGGAAATGTAGTTGTTTTTAGCTGAGCATTCTTTTAAGCCATAAGCAGCTTTATTCTCCATTTTCACAACATCTTGGAGATGCAGTTAATGTTCTATCCGGGGGGAGGGGAAGAAAGATTAGATAGCCTTGAGTTTAGCTCACTTCAGGAAATAAAACGCAAAGCGTTTAACGTCTTCACAATATCAGAAACAAATCGCAATGGAACGGTTAAGATAATTAGCATATCAACGTCCTTGAGCGATTTTTATGTGACATTGAATATGCCAATATGAAGACAATCTTTCACACAGTTTTATTAGAAAGAATTGGAAATTTATGGACAGTATGACCGTTTACGGATATCTAGAAGGCTTTAGATCACCTTAGCTGATTAGTTATGTTCCCACGGAGGCTCGAACCCAGTGCCCATAGTTTCCAACGCCAAAGCGTTATCCACTAGACCACTTGGGCCACGAGAGCCACCTCTTGTGCAACGGGTCATATTGATTTAATTGAATTTTACATTTTTCCCGTCGATTGATTGGACCGAATATTCCCATAATTTATTCAGAACAAAATATTTAGAGCGAACAATTGTTTTCAATAAATTCTTCTTCAGGCTCTACAATTACAAATCCATTCATTTAAGCATACAATAGCCATTAAAGGCAAATTTGCCTATACTGGCTATTGTATGCTTAAATGAATGGATTTGTAATTGTAGAGCCTGAAGAAGAATTTATTGAAAACAATTGTTCGCTCTAAATATTTTGCTTAAACTTAAAGTTAGAAATCGAGTGTTATGCCTGATCCATTGTTCAGTTAAATTCAGGCTTATTTGGTAATGTAATTATTATGTCTGTAAATTAATATCAACATTTGTAGACGACAGGCAAAAAAGCTGTTTAGACACTTAGAAGCTATCAAAACTCCAGTATTTCATTTGACATCATCTTTATGTGGAATACATTTTACTAAGTTAATATTATATGGAAAAAAAGTATGACTAAAAGCATTCTCAGTTATTTAGTGATCAATAAAAATTTTTTTTTAGCATGTACACATGTTAAAACTAAATGACCTTCAATCATTACTATCATTTTTAAAATCAAGATTATGTAGTAAAATTGTTTTAATATAGACAAAAGTGCTCAATAACCATGTGCTCATATATTGCTTGAAATAAACTTTAAGCATGTGAATCAATAGTAATAGTGCCCTTATGTATATTTTAAAAGTTATACGCAAAGTACTTGAATATAAATAATGGTAATCTTTAATAAAACAATATATGGTT